ATTTGGGTTATTCTGAGCTCCGGTGCGAGAGGTGTGAAAGCCGGTTAGTAGTAGCACTTAAGAAAAAGAAAGGACACTTGGAGGTAATAATTTTTTAAAGCGTTAAAATCTCAAGATGTCAGCGCAAGCCGTTCACTGACAAAAATACAGCAATTTCTTATTATTAGATTTTTTTTGTAATGCATTCACTTTTTCTTAGCTGTACCTAAAATAATTTTGTGTTTGTAATTTTGTACACAGGAAAAATATATAGCCAAAAATATTTGGTACCACTTTCTAATCAGGGCGCCGCAGTGGGCATGTAAAAAAACAGCAAGAAGGTCACCTCACAGCAAGAAGGTCGCTGGGTCGCAGGTTCGAGCCTCGGCTGGGTCAGTTGGCGTTTTTGTGTGGAGTTTGCATGTTCTCCCTGTGTTTGCGTGGGTTTCCCCCTAAAATCCAAAGACATGCGGTACAGGTGAATTGGGTTGGCTAAATTGTTTGTACTGTATGAGTGTGTGTGTGAATGTTTCCCAGAGATGGGTTGCGGCTGAAAGGGAATCCGCTGCGTAAAACGTGTGCTGGATAAGTTGGCGGTTCATTCCGCTGTGGCGACCCCGGATTAATAAAGGGACTAAGCCGACAAGAAAATGAATGACTTTCTAATCAGAATTAGTTTTATTGCCAAGTGTGCTTCACACACACACACAAGGAATTTGTTTTGGCTACAGAAGCTTCCAGTGGACATAAAGTGACAACACATTAAACAGAGATGCAGTTGGTCAAAAAGGTCTGGATGTTGAATTGTTTGTACAGTTTGTTATAAGTATACAGGTTTTAAGGTGCTGTGTACAAATGTGAATTGAGAAAGTATTGCATTGTATATTAATATAAGGTGCTGTGTACAAGTGCGTATGAGAAAGTATTGCACTTGTTTATTGCACAGTAGGGGAATATTTAACAGTTCATGAGGTATATAGCCTGAGGAAAGAAACTTTTGGTCTGTTGTGCCAACCAGACGGTAACAGTTCAAACAGGTAGTGTGCTGGGTGCGAGGCGTCCAGAGTGATTTTGCGAGCCTTTTTACTCACTCTGGAAGAGTAGAGTTCTGGAAGTGTAGAAAGGGTAGTGCCAGTGATTCGTTCAGCAGTCCGAACTATTCGCCGTAGTCTACGGAGGTCGATTTTGGCAGCTGAGCTGAACCAGACGATGATAGAAGTGCAGAGGATGGATTGGATGACAGCGGAGTAGAACTGTACGAGCAGCTCCTGTGACAGGTTGAACCTTCTGGCAGGTTGAACTGGCAGGTCCATAATATTAACTACACACTATGACACTGCCATAGAAATAACTACACACTATGAACCATTTAATAAGCATTAGCAAGTAGTGAGTTCATTATCCGTTAAGTATTAACTCTACATTAATAAACGTTTGTAAGCAGCTTATAACTGCAGCTACAACTGCTCTATTCTTGACTTACAAGCACATTTATAATGTGCTTAATAATTATACTTTCATACTTTAATGAATAATTTTTTATTACTATTAACTCTTTACTAATTAAGTATTGCATTATTTACAAATCAGTTATTTAAGCATAGTTGCTGTTTCTTAAAGATCATTCAGTATGAGTTAGTAAATTATTAATAAACTATTAAATTAGCATGTATTATTCTTATTATTCAGACATATAAAATGAACTATCAGTATATGTTAATAAATGCTTCATTAACTCAACTTTATCCAGTTTTGTGACCTAAAGTGTGCACTATTTATGCTTTATAAATCACTTATAAATGACTATTAAAGGCTCAGTTATATTCCAAACAGGAAAAAAGAACATAAACAACATTATTCATTCTTATTTGTTATAGATAAACAAATTAAACTGTACTTCAAATGAAAAATAATACTTTGCAACCTTATCTAAAATAAAATCACTGTAGAGCTCAAACACTGCATCTTATTATATTGTTAAATGTTTATGTTGTTGTTTTATCCAATTTGATGTCGTATTTTGACACTTTTGTTGTTCGGCAATGTTTATACTTTACAGTAATTTTACTTTTTAGATAAGATTGCAAAGATGTATTGTTCATTTGATACCAAAACTTGAATTGTCATTTATGAGGGATTTATAAAGTAATAAATAGTCCTCACTTTAGGTCACAAAACTGCATGAAGTCGTGTTAATAAAGCTTTTATTAACAGACAGAGTAACCATTACTAAATGCCTGAATAATAATATATATTAAGTTGATTTAAACCATCTACTAACTCATTCTGAATGATGATAAAAACAAATGACTACTTTTGAATACAGATGATTTGTAAATGATGCAATACTTAATTTAGTAATGAAAAATTAACCAGTCACAAAGTATGAAAGTACAATTGTTAAACACATTATAAATGTGCTTATAAGTCAAGAATAGAGCATTTGTAGCTGCAGTTATAAACTGCTTATTAACAGTCATTAATCTAGAGTTAATACTTAACAGTTAATGAATTCACTAGATGCTAATGCTTAGTGAATTATTCATAATGTGTAGTTAATATAAAGTGTTACCAAATATTTTTTCAGCTTGTTCAGATTAACTGGTTGCAATTACTTGACATGATACAATATACTTTTATGTTCATTCCACCTACATTTGTAATATTATAAAGTTGTCTTAAATGTTTTGTGTTGGTATAGTAATTTTGTTGGCATAACTACTGTAACTTGATGGTGGACATTTAGTCCTTAGCATGCTTTGCATAAAATTTTATTAAAGGGATAGTTCATCTAAAAATGAAAATGACCTCATCATTTATTCCAGCTTGCTTGGTTTTTAACCTTTGAGATTCTTTCTTCTGTTCAACACAGAAGAAGAGAGTCGTTCAGCATTTTTAAAATTATCTATGTGCTAAACAGAAGCAAGAAAGTCAAAAGGGTATGAACAAGTGAAGGTTTAAGTAAATAATGGCAGAATTTTTATTTTCATTCATTAATTTTTCTTCGGCTTAGTCCCTTTATTCAATTATACAAATTAAGTAAATAAGATTGGTTAATTCAAATTAAACATTAATAATAATTTAAATGTAAGTTATTTAATCGTATTAATCTAAAATTTGGTGTCATGGCTGTGCAGTGAGTAGCACATTCGCCTCACGGCAAGAATGTCGCTGGTTCGAGTCCCTAGGTCAGTTGGCATTTCTTTGTGGAGTTTCCATGTTCTCCCCATGTTCATGCGGCTTTCCTCTGAGTGCTCCAGTTTCTCCCACAAGTCCAAAGACATGCGCTATAGGTGAATTGGGTAAGCTAAATTTTCCATGGTGTATGTGTGTGAATGAGAGTTTGTGTGTGTTTCCCAGTGATGGGTTGGGCATCCGCTGCGTAAAAACATATGCTGGGTAAGCTGGTGGTTTATTGCACTGTGGCAAACCCAGATTAATATAGGGACTAATCCAAAAAGAAAATAAATGAATGAACGATCCAAAATAAGCTGTATGGTTCCAGTTGACTAAATCAAGAAATAACATCATTTAAATGTGTGTCATAATTAAATGAAGCTACACCAATGATTAATTTTGTTGACTGTATGCTTGCAACAGGTGTGACCAGATGAGTTAAGTGCAGTGAGTGGAATTTTGTGAGGATATTTAAACTCACAGCAGCAGGCTGTTTACGTAAGTTTTGCCCATAACCTACAACCTGCCCTGGGACACGACTGACCTATTAGAAGTTTTCCTGAGTTCAGAAGACACTCTGCCATTCGTCAAACTGACATGGACTCATTGAGCTGGAAAATAAAATGTACGGGAGTTTTTCCAACTATGAGGACTTTCATGAAATAAACTCTCTTAAAAGACCCTTCTCATACTTTATTTGAATCATCTATTAATAATGTTCACAAATACAGTTGAAGTCAGAATTATTAGCCGCCCTTTGAATAGTTTTTTCTTTTAATATTTCCCAAATGATGTTTAACAGGGCAAGGAAATTTTCACAGCATGTATGATAATATTTTTTCTTCTGAAAAAAGTCTTATTTGTTTTATTTTGGGTAGAATAAAAGCCGTTTTTAATTTTTTTAAAAACATTTTAAGGTAAAAAAAAAATTATTAGCCCCATTAAGCTATATGTTTTTCCAATAGTATATAGAACAAACCATCATTATAAAACAACTTAATTAATCTAATAAATCCAGTTAAGCCTTTAAATGTCACTTTAATCTGTATAGAAGTGTCTTGAAAAAAAAAATCTAGTAAAATATTATTTACTGTCATCATGGCAAAGATAAAATAAATCAGTTATTAGAAATGAGTTATTAAAACTATTATGTTTAGAAATGTTGGCAAAATCTTCTAATTTAATAATTTTGACTTCAACTGTATACGGAGAGTGAATTTTACAGGGATATTATTGCCCTTTAATTGAAGAATCATGCATAAATAAAAGAACATGTGTGCATTTGAAGTGAAAAGCTTGAAAGTTTAAAAGAATACTTCAGACAAATTTATAGCCGCTGTCAGTAGTTTACAGCGTTCATGCTGTATATCTGTGTTTTATGTGTTATGGTTAGTCTTTCCAGTGTTTCCAATGTTTATTTAAAGATATCACCAATCCCAAGTTACCCAAGGAACACGTTGACTTTTGACCATTCAATCTTGTTTTATTGAAAAAATGAAATAAAATAGCATGTACAATAATAATTACAATAATAATAATTATAATAAGAACAACAATAATATTAATCATAATATAAAAATCTGTACATTCCATTGTTTTCTTTCAGTACAATAGGGAAGACTGATACAAAAACTGCATATGGGGATATATTTACAACAGAGAGCAAGAGGAGCATTTTTTTTTCTGAAACGAGCCAACAGTAGCCTAGTGCAAACCAGGTTTACTAATGTGTATCAAGTGTCTCTTGAACAAGGAAAATGCCTAAAATAAAGTAATAAAAAAGCTATGGTTGAAAAGGCATTGATAGCAATTTATACTCTGTACGTTTAACACGTGCAGAATCATTTCAAAATAAATATCCTCTAATTTTATAGTCTCCTTTTATCGAGCTTTCTGGAGAAAGTGCTCTAGTTTGTATGTCGGGCATTAAAAGGAAAGAAAAATAAAGAGGGTGACAGGAGACATGTTAGACATCACAATCAAACGTCAAGCGATATCTCAGGAGCACATTTTGTGTGCAAGTGCGGTTCTGAGCTCAGATTCTGTGTTCTGATTGTCATTGGATCACAGTACCATGATCTCAGTCTAATTACCCAGTCCTACATACCCAGTCCTTGGTACACCTGCCAAACAAGTCATTAGGGTTGTATTGCAGTTTGTCAGGCAAGGCAAGAGGTTAAAGTTGATTGAGAAATAATTAATTATTAGAGAGTTTTAAAGTCAGAAGGGAGAGTGGATTGTGTTTTCCGCCCCACTCCTCTCCAATAAAACCCAAGCCTTTTTCTCCCGTCGTTCACTGAAACTGTTTGTAAATAAAAATCCATGCAAATACAACTTTGAATCTAAAAGGTTTTCTAGCAACCCAAACACTTTTGTAGCACTAAAGTACAGTAACACTGAAGTTCTGGGGTGAAAAGGAGTCTGAAATAAGGTCGGCTAACCTGTAGCTCTCTTATTTCCTAAGGGCTCTGTTATTCATGTTCTATGTTTGGCTTCGAACAAGAAAATAAACAATAAAAATAAACCATATATGTGCGTAAGCAAACAAAAAACTTTTTTCCCCTCCTCTTACAAATATATATATATTTTTACTCCACCTCATAACTTGTCCTATGTCTAATAAAGAATGCATTAAATTCTTTTATGAAAGGTCATTTTGAATACTCTTTGGTTTAAGTCTAAAAGTCTATATGCAACATAGCAGCACTTGTAGAAAGACATTCATTAACACGTTCACTCTCTTTGTCCCTGTGGACATGATGACTGATACTGATTTAAAGACCCTGTCCCATATATATAATCGATATAACAATAAACAGGCATGTTCCTGTGCATTTCTCCCTATAGATAACCGTGTTCTGCGGTGGGCTTCCGAGTTCCAACACATTGTTTTTTCTTTCTTTTCTTTTAAGACGGACAACGGTGTGTCTGTATTTCCAAATAGAGGTCACCCACCTACTAAACCCCCTCACTGTTCCAGAAATACCCATGGCTCACTCGAAGGCCAGTGGACTCAAATAGAAAAAGGAAAAGAGGGGATGATGGAATAATTAACTAGACGGTAAGAACAGGACTTTTTAATTATACTTAAGACATTGACTAACACTCCTGGCTGTTTTATCTCATTTGTATAATGTTATTTGTATGATCTATTGTTATGTTAATTTGAAAATTGCTTTTTCACAGAATCGAATGAGAGTACTTTGTAAAACCCAACAGTCAACTTTATCAAATGAAATGAGTGTAGTTAACTCAATTTCTTGAGTTACTTCTACTCATTTGTAAAGTGCCTTGAACTCAGTGTTGAAAGTAATGAGTCAATTAAATACCTCATTACTTCAACTTAAATGGAGTAAGTTCACAGTACTCATATAGATTAGTTTAACTCAAATGGTTTGTAGCAATCCGGATCCTCAAATGGTTTGAGTTGCCTTAACTTAATTGGTTTTACAGTACTCAGTTGGTTTGAGTTCTCTTCATTTATTGGGGTTTACTGTGCTTAAATTGCTTCGTTTACTCAAATGGATTAAGTTCACAGTACTCAATAGGATTAGTTATTGAACTTAAATGGTTTGTTGCAATTGGTTTCTTCAAATGGTTTGAGTTACCTTAACTTTTTGTGTTTTACAGTGTACATTTTCCTCAATGATACACTTTCTGAAACAAAGGTACAAAAGCTGTCACTATTAAAGGTGATGATATGCACACTTTGAGTACTAATACCAACATGGACCCTTTAGATACAAAAGTGTACTTTTTAAAAAGGTACCGCCTCAGTGACAACTTTTGTACCTTTATTTCGTTATCACCTCCGATAGCAGCAAATATTGGTCTGAGCTTAAATCATTCTCATATCGTTGGACAACTGCACATGGACACATGCCTGCTCATTTTCAAGTTTTGCCAACCAGTTACATCCTCTCGGCTTTATATCATTCAGAAGCAACGGTCTGAAAAGGTAGTGTTGCCAAAATGGGAAACTCTCTCCTCCCCTTCCTTGATGTGCATTCTTCTTAAGCTGTGCAGTGCCTCTATGCTGTGTTTATTTAACCATGCATATTCGTAAGAACACTCTTGTACAGTTGCTTCCTCTTCGTAACTGTACCGTTAGCTTGAGTCTGATTCGCCGAAGGGCTCAGTTCAGCTCAATTGTGCCTGTATGAAGAGGTGTCTGTCAAACCTTCCCGCCAGTTTTGCACAGTCATATTTCAGATTCCCGCCGTAGAGGCCGAGGTTCTAAGGGAACGGTGGCCTGGCTGTGTTCAGAGTCTGAGCTAGTTTCCGTGTTTGTTCCCCCAGGCCCCAGGCTGTCCCCGTGCCCTTCTTCTTTCTCCTCTTTGTTTGAAAGGGCCACCTCGTTCTCATAGCAAAATGAATTAGAGTTGGATATGATGTACTTTTTCTCAGCAAGGTCCCTTGCACTGCACAGCGGGGTGCTGGGGACTTCGTAGGTCTTGTGAAAGCGAGAGTAGTCTACTTTGTAATAGTTTTTCTCCTCAAAGAGGACTGGCTCAAAGCGGTGTGCCCAGAGGATTTCATTCGCCACATAGGAGCTACGACACTGGGTGGTCATTGCCGTAGCCTCCACCATGCCCTCCAGGATGACCACAATTTCGAAGTCAGAGTTTTCCATTTCTTGTTTGCTCATATCATAGAAAGGGCTGTCCTCGTCGATTTCATGGACGATGGTGATGGGTGACACCAAGAAGATGCGGTCAATGCCACTGTCGAAGCCTACATCAATGTCCATCTGGTCAAGAGGGATAAACTCTCCTTCGGCTGTGGTGCGAGACCTGAGGAGCTGAGCACGGACATGGGCCTCCACCAGGTGGCTTTTGCGCAAGTTCCCCACCCTCCACATCAGACACAGCTTATTGTCCCTCATGGCGACCGTAGCGTTGTGGCTGAACACCAGCGTCTCGTTCCTTTTCTTGGGCTTTGCCATCTTTGCCATGACTGCACCGATGATGAAGGCGTCAATGATGCAGCCAACTATGCTTTGAAACACCACCATGAACACCGCGATGGGGCACTCATCTGTAACATATCGATAACCATAGCCGATTGTAGTCTGCGTCTCGATGGAGAAGAGAAAGGCAGCAGTGAAGCTACTGACGTTGGAGACACACTTGTGACCATTGTTCTCCAGGTCTCCATGGAATATGGCAACCAACCAGAAGATACATCCAAAAAACAGCCACGACAGCAGGAAGGCCAAGCAAAAGATAACGAACATCCATCGCCAGCGGATGTCCACGCATGTGGTGAAGATGTCAGCCAGGTAGCGCTGGCTCTTTTCGCTGACATTGATGAACTGCACGTTGCAGTGTCCGTCTTTCTTGACGAACCTGCTTTGGGTTTGGTGACGGGTGTGCACTTTGCTCTTCCCGTTACCGTACCCATTTGGCACCGCAGCAGTGGCCAACTTCATACCGTCCTCCTCTGATGACACAATGCTGTAGCGGTTGGCCCGCACACTTCCCATCACCTCAGTCTGGGAGTTCTGTGCTGTTTCTGCTTTGGAAAACAGTCTTAGTTTTTGGAAAAAGCGTTGGAGAAACAGTTTTGAAACACTCACGGGGACCAACACAAGCAGAAAATGGTGTGGATGTTCAGAGCCGGACGCAGGAGGCGTCTCTTTGCTCTAATTGGACCTTTTGATTGACAGAAGGGCCACAGAAGGGGCTATCACTGCGTTCTCATCTACTCCGGTGATGTCATTGATCAAATGTCCTATCAGAGAAAAGAAACAAGAGACACATTAACGTTAATTGGCAATTACTCCACGTTAAACTCAATATTCTTACTTTTTAAAACATTGACCTTTTGAACCTAACGGCAAATAACTTTGAGACCAAATATAATGCAAATAATTCTCATGCATTCTCAAGCAAGTCTCAGCTTGAACTGATAAATTTGTACACTGATTAAATCATAATGTTAACATTTCCCGCTGAATTTTGCATCACATGTAATAATACCGACTTTGAAGCATGGTATGTGCTTAATCAAAAACTCATACTTTGAAACTCAAGATGACCCTGTCCATTCCTTTTAGATTAAAAAAATAGCAGTGTTAGCCAACAGGACTTACTCTGAATGGACTAAACAACAGAACTCAAGCTGGACGCCTCTACATTTTAAGCTTAGCAAGGCTGAGAATTAAACAGTGAAATGTAATTGTTTTCCCAAAATGTGTTTCATCCATAAGTTTTATGTTGACAAAAATAATGCACATATTTTCATAAATATCAAAATAGTGAACATTTCTTGCAATATCAAATATTTTTAGACCTATAGTATATTTCTTGATCACCAACACTTTTGTAATTTTGATTTAAACAAACAATATTTAATTTTCATTAATACAATGACACTTTAACGAGCTCCTCATCTTAATTTTCAATGCTATGCCAACATATCTGTTTATGTGCTCACGCATATAGTGTAATTGCCCACAGGACCATTAATAATACCCGTTTTCACATAGTGTGCTAATCAGGAGTGTGGGTGAATGGAAATTTGTTTTGTTCAGCAACATATGTCTCTTACATCGCAATAATTTAAATAGGCATTACCTCTTCTAAACCTAGAGCCTGTATTTAATGCCTTTCTTGTTATACTGAACAATAATAAAAATGTTTTAAAGAGAATGTCATCACAAATATTCCAGGTAAAAGCTGACACAACAGCGATATAAAGTCAGGACTGCTCCCTAAAGGGTTGACATTTCATGCATTTTAAAACCAGCTCAATTAGTCAGTGGAAAAAAAAACATGCATTAAGATTAAATGATTACGAGTAACCTGGTCAAATAATGTAGCAAAGTACATAACATTCTGAACTATTTCTTAAACGCAAGCAAATGTAAAAACAAGCTAAGACTGGTTTTCTGTAGGGTGCAGAGCGGGAACTAAGACGAGGCTTGTTGACTCGAGAGCTTGTCCTCTGGGACCTCATCTTCTCTCTCAGCAGTATAATGACAGCACTGTGACAATTCCCTGGGGAGGGCTAAAACACTACTCATTAAAGCTCCTATTCTGCCCTCAATGTTCCTGGCAACCATAACTGAGTAGAAAGGTCCTGTTTTATCCTATTTAGCAGGTGAACGGAATACAGAGAGTGAAAGGACAGCGAGTAAGTGAATGACATAATCAATGAAAGATTGAAAGAGAGAAAAAAAAAAAAAAAAAAAAAAAAAATATATATATATATATATATATATATATATATATATATATATATATATATATATATATATATATATATATATATATATATATATATATATATTTGAAGAAAAACTACTGCAGGATTATATCCTTCCAACTAGAACAAAAGTTTATTTCTTTTGGTTCAACATTTTCACATGCGGCCCCATAAACCTTCAGATAAGGAGCAGGTTGATAGATGCTATTATGTCTTACACGAACCCTAATATGACATTGTTTCTATCTAGGAAAGATGTTTATTTTGATGGCGCGGACCAGTGAGGACCAATGGAAAATGTTACATAAAAGTCTAAATTCTTTTGAGTAATCTAAGATTATTACTTCAAAAATATGGTTGCATATTTTAGGGAAATTCCTTTTGCCCCATCATCGCTGTTAACAGTTTACACTATGTGATGTGCACGGTCCTGACAAACAAGTTAAGCACCAATTTAGCTGCCAGTTGAAAGTCTCTGAGTGTTTATGGCAGAAAAGATCTGCGTGTCTGTCAGCCGACTGACGCCTGACAACTGCTGAGCACAGCTGTGCTCCAAATATATTAGACAAATGCACACTTAGCAACAGTGAGCTCTGTCGAATAAGACAATACTAGGCTATATAACAATTGACATCACATGTTGAATGCATTAAATACACATAATGCAGCATTAAACCCGGCATGGTAGCTTTATAAGTCAAATGTGCCATGCAGGCAGAAACAGAACTCAACAGGTGTGAGACGGAAAGACATTCATTTCATTTTCCTCCTTTCTTTCTCCTGAATAACTACTAAATAAGTGCTTAAAGTAATAAGAAACTTAAAGTGAAGGTTACCTTTAGTGTAAATAATAAGAAAACTGATCACACTTTCATATCAATTAAAGAGTCATAAACTTAAAGGTAGAATCTGGCTAAATTATGAAATGATCATAATCCAAACAAACAAAATAAAGCAAAACAAACAAACTAAAAATTAAAAATATATTTAAATATTTATTGTGTGTTTCAGTAAAATTAAATTAAGTTTAAACCTTCTGCTTCTCAGACTTTTCATAATTACTGCAATAAACTTTCAATAAATATATATGCTAAGATTTACTGCTGTAAAATATCAAATCTAGCTGAACACATGGAATGATGCAGACACAATTATGATTTATTATTATTATTATTTTAAAATAGAATTAAATTAATATGTACAGCACAAAACACATCTCATTCCCCACACAGTGCGAGTTTATTTACAAATGCATGAAATAAAACATGTCAGCAAATATATGACCTTACCTAGTCATCTGTAGATGAAATACGAAACCCTTCTCATTTATAAATATCCCACGAATGGCGTTACTATCCACAGTCTTCGCATTGATGTTCTCCTCTATTTGTAATGTATTAAAAGTATTTGTAGTGCAAGAACAGAAATCACCACATTTCTCCTCTTGTTTTGCGGCGTGCGGTAACTCATGTGCTGTTGCTTCTAGGCTTCAAATCCGTTTAAATAACACGCACCGGCTTGTCACGCCCCCTACCGTGAAACCAGCCAATCAGATGAGAGGGAGACTTTCACGCGCGGATAAAACAATGTTCTTCACGGACTGGTAGAGAGCAAGTGAAACAGAGAACAGCAGCGCGCGAATAAGGGCTTGAATCCTCTCAAAGGAAGCCAAAACAAAACCTTGTGGGTGTCTAAAATGTATGTATTCTTTCAGAAGTATGATTTTGATTCAACGTTGTGGTCTACACGTTAGTCATAATATGTTGAACAGACAATGGAAAATTCGCCTTTTGCCTGTATAAATGCGGGTTTCTCTTAATATCAGGCGTTACTTTGACAGCATATGTTAATATCCTATGTTTCACTTGTTAACAGACCATATTTTAAAATGCCAGTTTCTGACTTGTACCAACAAAAGTCCATTTTGTTTGAGCTTGAGGAAAATTACTGACAGGTTAACTCTGAAGAGTGGTGTAATTACCCCAAGCGTTTTAATAAACAGGCTTGTATAGTTCATACAGGGTTTAATAACTGCCATTTCAGAAAAAAAAACGCATTTCTGAAATAAAAGATTTGCAGATTACTATGCTTGATCGAATCTCACTTCATATGTCATAAATTTTTAATATGAAAATAAACACAATGTAAGTGGACACCAAACATTTCTTAATAAATAGCCTTTATTTTGTTTCACGAAACAAATTCTGTTTTAATAGTTTAGCATGTAATACCATAATAGACTTAGTCTTGTTTATGCCATTGACAAAAACCACAGAAGTCTTTAACCATTGTTTTACTACAAATAATATTAAGAGAACATGTTTTTTGTAGCAACTACAAATTAATGATGTTTTTGCTACTCTAACCATAGTTTAGCCACTGTATTTTGTAGTAAAACTGTAGCTAAACAAGTTGTAATTATTATTATTATTATTATACACCCCCCCCCCCCAACAAAACAAAAACAAACCAGTCAAACAAACAACAATAACAACACATTTACTAAAATAGTCCATGGGTAATTTGTTAAGGTTTACATGTACTTGAGTCATCAACACACAGTATAAAAAATAACTCTACTCAGAATGTATTTAGGCTTCATTAATTCTTGTATTCCATTGTATTGAAGGGAATCAGTAGTTCAAGACCAATGTAAAATTAATTAATGATCCTTTAATGTTCAGTGAGAAGAATGTTTCTCCATCTCTTTATAAGTGGTCCAATGAAAACCAAGCAGCAAGTGTTCCACAGCCCTTTGCCCTTCCCGGCTGCTGCGTGTCACACACTGCTTACTTATCATAACTAATGAGCCGTGCTAAACTTTTATTTGTGAAGCTGTTGCAAAGTGCTTATTTTAGTTACTTTCCTGTTCGAGTCTATAAATAATACAGTCTATTTATAGACAAAATGTGGTGCGTGAGCTGTCCGGCCTCTGTTTACCTTTCAGCCTAATTTGAGACGATGCTTGGACAGCACTGCATCCAACCACAAGGTGGAGGGCTGGAGACTTCAGTTTCGGAGAAAAACCTCCTGAGACCCAGCAATTTTATTCACTCTAGTAGACATATGTTTTTTGTTAATATCACCAAGACCATACATGCCACTGTTTTAAGTCTGTCTGCCTGTCTTGAAGAGGACATCTTGAGCTTTTCTGTCATGCCAAATTACTGGATGTGGTCAAAGTAGTCACATCAGTGTATGATTTAACAGTTATAAAATGTGACAACAGTAGTAATTTAACCTAATACTATTAAATAAGGATATTCTTTTTACTCCTTTTGTAATCTGATTTTACATTTAACAATCTGATTAGCATAAATAAAAGTAACAATAACTAAAAAACTAATGTAAATATTGCAGACTGCATTGAATTGATCGCTCAATAACCATACATTGTACATTTAATCAGTTGTCAGGTTGTATTTTGGGGAAGTAGATGAATGCTTTGCAAGTATTGAAAATTGAGACAAAAATAATAGGTTAACCACTTTGCAAAGTAAGGTGGAACAACAATCTGCACTTCCTCACCTAATACCAAAGAAACACAGTGACTGATTACCTGCTCAGGTTAACGTCACTGTCATTATAATTGATCCAATCCCTCTTATGTAGGTTGAGGGTTTGGGCTCATAATTGAATCAAGGAAGTATTATTTTTTACATCTTGGAATATCAAAGAAACTTCAATGAAAGAAGAGTCTGTAATTAAATTGAGAATCTTTACTACATCTGTGATTTCAGTGTAGATGTGTGTTTGTGTGTGTGTGTGTGTGTGTGTGCGTGTGCTGCTGCTGCTTATTGAGTGTGTGCAAGATTGCTAAATTAATTTAAAGAATAAATTACTATATTTAAACAAAACTTATTATTTTAAATGTAATTCTCCAATTCTTTGCATCAAATTCAAAAGTCCAGCAAATTATTGTTGTTTATTAGGGTCTTCTGCATCACATTAGTATGAGCCAGATTTACTTACAAACCGCCTTTTATGCATTTAAAACAACTGTCTTGATTTACTGACAGCATATTGTTAGAAAATGAGTGGTGAAATGTATTTTTGTTGGACAGAGTTATTTTTGGAGGTCAATGCATTTGTAGGAGTTTTCTTACAGGCTAACAATTTATGACATTGTTCTATTTGTAAAAATTATTAAAGGTGGTTACTATAGTCAGTTTACTACCCAGCAAGCAGTTTTTGTTTTTAAAACATGTCTAATAGACATCTAAACATAGTCGTCTTGGCTAAAAAAAGGCTAAATTAAGGCTGTTAGTGAAAATAGACGTCTAAGAACAGGCCGAAAGTAGACTAGTCATCAAATGAACAGAAATGAATGACTGCACATATAAAGTCTGTCTATTTGATGACTAGTCTAGTTTTGGGCTAATCATAGATGTCTATTCAATTTTAGATGTCATAGATATTTATTTGATTTTTTGTTTGCTGGGTAGTATTTGTGCTAAAAAAGCATGGGTTATTCAACGCAATCTTATGGCAATTCATAACCTTTTGATTTAATGTCTAATAAGTAGAAATTTGTATGATCTCATTTGCATATTTTAGTATGATGCTTATCCCCCAATGATGGGGGGTTTAGGGGTGGGATTTGGAGGCAAGGCTCCTGTTGTATGTTTGAGTTGTATGAATTTGTATGAATCTGCTCCATCCATCAGTTCCATCCATTTAGTCATTCCATCCCTCCAGTTGTTCCATCCATCCATCCATCCATCCATCCATCCATCCATCCATCCATCCATTCAACCCATCTGTTCAATCCAGTCATTCCATCCATTGCATCTATCCATCCATCCATCCATCCATCCATCCATCCATCCATCCTTTCCATTTATCCATCCATCCATCCATCCATCCATCCATCCATCCATCCATCCATCCATCCATCCATCTAGTCGTTTCATCCATACCATCAGTTCAATCCAATCCATCCATCAATCCATCCATCCATCCGTTCCATCCAGTCGTTCCATCCATCCATCCATCCATCCATCCAGTATTTTTTTAGTATGATGCTTATCACCTGATGGTGGGTAGGTTTAGGGGTGGAGTTTGGAGGCAAGCCTCCAGTCGTATGTTTGATCCATACATCTATCCATCCATACATCCATCTGCAATTCTTAATTTTTCGATTTATTGTCTAATTCTTATTCATTTGTATGATCTCATTTGTATGTTTTAGTATGATTTGTATGATGCTTATCCCCCAGTGATGGGTAGGTTTAGGGCTGGGCTTTGGAGGCAAGTCTCCTGTCGTATATTTGAATTGTATGAATTAGTTTTTTTAGGCACTTTTTTTGACAATAGGTAAAATAGTTATGTTTCCACATGAGATACGACTCGGTTATCCTGTTTTAGGTCTGTGTTGTTAGTTTTACCTGCACCTGATCATAAATGGATCTGCTTGTTTGTAGCCTAGTTTGTGCTGCTTTATACTCTGCATTATGTAAATAAACAGCTCTGTCTGTATTCTCTAATTCACACATTGTCAGAAGTACACTCTCAATAATTTGTCCCGTATAGTAAAGCTGGCCCTTAGTCTAAATCAAACTATAAATGCGTAATTTTTAGGTGATGCTTATAGAAGACCCCATTTCAAAGTGCTATTACAGAGGAAGGCTGTATCAAGGTCACAGTTATAGCTTATGTTCTTGGACAGCACTGCTGGTGGATGCTTTTTCTGCCTCAAGATTATTCCCATTAACCAATTCCACAGCTGCTGTTGGTGAACTTATGTGGAGCGGTTTGTGTTTTGGCTGTTCAGAGTACTTTTTTAGGTCATACTCTTCTGAGCTTAATTCTGGCACAAGGACTTTAACCGTGTGGTTGAATAGGGCGTAGTCCACTCTGTAATTCTTGCGGGTGACCCTGATCATCTCCTGAAAGTTCTGGCCCCACAGAATCTCGCTTGGAGTGTAAGATGTGCGAGTCTGGTGAAGGATGCCCGTGCAATCGTCTGTGTAAGTGAAAGAGACCACTAGTTCGAAGCTCTCTTTTCTTAGATCCTTTAAGCTCATCTTGTATAGAGGCGTTCCAGGGAGTATTTTATGGATTATAGTTGTTGGGGTGGCCAAGATCACGCTCCTCTCTTCAATGATGAGGTCTTTGTATGTGATGTCAACTTTCCCTGTGTTGTTGTTTGCTTGGAACTCTATTAGCTGTGCATTAGAAGTTCCTTCTACCATATGGTTCCTCCGGAAGTCCCCAACCCGCCATGATAGGCATAGGTGACCATCATGTATACTGATCACTGCACACTTGCTGAATCCAACTGTTTGGGCTCTTTTACGGGCAGACGCCATCTTGGCAACGGCAATGCCAATGACAAAAGTGTCAATGAACACACTAATGACATCTTGGATGGTAACTACGATGATAGCGATCATGCAGTTCTCAGACATCCCCCGAAAGCCATAACCAATAGTGGTTTGGGTCTCTAATGAGAAAAGAAAAGCAGCTGTAAAACTCCGAACCTCATAAACGCATGGCTCATTGTTGGGGTTTTTCATATCGCCATGTGTTAATGCAATGATCCAGAATAGAATTCCAAAAAACAGCCAAGATAAGATGTAGGAGAGGGCAAATGTCAAGAGCATGACTCTCCAGCGGATCTCCACCAGGGTAGTGAAGATGTCAGTGACCCACAGAAGCCACTTTTCTGGAACATGCCGGGGTACCATGTTACAGCTCCCATCTTTTCTCACATATCGCTTCTTCTTGGAGTAACAGCTGTCGTCAGTGACCACACTTTGAATATTGTCACTGCTCTTCACTCCGGCGTACTGCACCTTACCTGAATTCATATTGCCTCACTCTATAGAGATAAAGAGAAGAGTGCAAAGTCAGATTCACAAGTTGCCACAACACTGCATTTACTGTACATAAACCAATATAGATATGTATAGACTATATAAAGATATACTACATAAGGCATTATCATTTTTTCTGTCTTGTTTTGATTCTTTTATACATAACCATCATTAGGTGACCTAAAAGTGGCACTGTTTGTCCATCTATCCATAAAATCCATCCATATACCCATATTTCCATCCATCCACAAACCCATCAATCCATCCAACCAATCAAATCTCTCCATCCATCCATCGTTCCATATCAATCTATCCATGAATCAATTCATAAGCACATCCATCATCCATAAACCCAATCCATCCATAAACCCATTCATCCATCCATAAACCCACCATTATCTATAAACCCATTATCTATAAACCCATCCATCCATCCATAAACCCACCCACCAACCATAAACCCATCCATCCACCCACCCACCATCCATAAACCCATCCATCCACCCACCCACCATCCATAAACCCATCCATCCACCCACCTACCATCCATAAACCCATCCACCATACATAAACCCATCCATCCTTCCATAAACCCACCCTTCATAAACCCACCATC